CATGACATCTTAACGTAGGTCTGAATGTAACGAAAGGTATATAATGTGCTGCATGGAGGGGGTCCAGTGCAGCTGCCCACCTAACTGTATGCTGTTGTTGCTTCTGCTTTTGGGTGAAGAATAAACCTCCTAACTTCATGCAATTTGTCAGTGTCCTTACTCCTGGCTCAGAAACGGACCTGGTAAGATAAATCTTTCTTCCAACAGCACAGTGATGTGCTGTAAGAAGCAAACTGCCTGCCCTGTGTTTGCTGGGTTTAGAGCTCTGGTCCTGATGTCCCAATAGGGTGGGGGGCATAATTATTCCCATTAGGTGCAATTAGACCATTCCTCCCAGTACAGTATTTGGATGCATCAATAAGGATCTTGCAGAGGAGTGTGTCTGCTGCATCTATGCATGAGTTACTGCACTGGCTTATTTTTCTCCATTTGGATGCAAGAATGAACTGGATCTCCCATTTCTGACTGAGAAATATATATGAAGGATAGCTTCCACTTGGGTTGGGTTTTTATAACATGCTAAACTAAAAAGCTAGATTCATAAACCCACATCATTCCCTGGCCCAATCACACACAGCTCATTATCCATTAGGTTTATTTGTTAGCTCCCTATCCTTTTTTCACAAGGTTTGGTATACATGAATTGGTCTGATCATTTTTTAAATGGCTGTCTGACTTTGTGACCATCATTATGTGTTACGATAGTGAATGCTGTACTGTAATTAGCCAATATTGGCCTTGCACTTAATATGTATGCCAGGGAACCAGTACTGGTCACTGCTTGGTTAGCACGAGTCTTTGCCCAGCTTAGAGGCAGTATCTAACTAACCCCCGTTCTCGAAAAATTCTGTGTATTTAGATTATTAATTCCGGGAGAAAACCTCCAGGGAGTCCCTGGGCTGTGAGCTGGACTGGGAAGCTGAAAAAACATCCTAGAAGAAGGTGACCCAAGCAAAACAGACTGTACTTTCATTTGGAAGCCCATTGATCCTGCCATCTGGGACTCCCTCTGGGCTGGAGGGTGCTCCCCTATGAGGTGGAAGCTTGCAGTCGGGAGCTGCTCCTAGACACGGAGTTCCTGCTGAAACAGCATGGGTGGAGACTCTGGCCAGGAGGCCTTTTGCCAAGGTCCAGCTGGCACACCAGTTGCAGCCTTACTTAGGACAGGGGATACTGAAGATGGTCATTCACAGCCATGTCATCTCCCAAATGGATTAATATTATTTGCTTTACTTAGGGCTGCCCTTGAAAACCACCCAGAAACTTCAGTTGGTGAAAGTCCAGTGTCATGGAAGGTTATTTCAATATATGATTACTGCAGCGACATTATATGCACACTGGATAAAACAATCTCGCTGGAAAGACGGCACTACCCACTATGGAGGAATGGTTGGTGAAATTGACAAATCTTGCTGAGATGAATAAAGTAACTTCTTTGATTAGAGAAAGGACACTATCTACATTTATTGTTGACTGGAAACCTCTTACGGACCTTTTGTGTAAAAATGAAAACAATGAACTTGTGATTTATGGTTTTAATGATTAGGCAGCTTAGATTATAGAAAGAAGAGTATTATGATGTCACTTTAGAGAGGTTAAAGTATAATTGTACTTATAATTGCTGTGAAGAATATCGGAAGCCACTGCTTTGTATCTTTTCTTTCTATTTTTCTTTAACGTTTTTTCCTTTCTTGCACTTTTTGCTTTCTCTTTGCTTTCTTTCTTCCTTTTTCTCTTCTTCTCTTTACTTTGTATTAGGTTGTGTTACTTTTTATCTTTTTAAAAAGTTTTAATAAAATTGCATATATAAAAAGGAAAGAGCAGTGTCCTGCACTGGTTGCTGCCCTGTAAGAGTCTGCAGGAGCTGCGTTGGCTACTGATACGTTTCTGAGCGCAATTTAAGGTGCTAGTTATCACCATAAAACCCTATACAGGTAGTTCTCATTTAGTAACCACAACAGGGACCAGCAAATCGGTAGTTAAGCAAAGCAGTTGCTAAGTGAAACTGGGACTATGCTTATGATCTTACTCCAGCTTTCCTTTGCTTTAAGACCTGTGAAGGTTGTAAATATGAAGATTGGTCACAAAGTTACTTTTTCATCACTGTTGTAACTGCAAATGGTTGCTAAACGAGAACTATCTGCATGGCTCAGGGCCTGGATATTTTTAAGGTCAATACCTCATATAGATTCTGCCTGCCCATTCTAAGGATGTAGAGAGTGTCTGCTGAAGGTCCTTGGTTACTGAGAGGTGCAACAGGTGGGGGCCCAAAAGTGGCCATTCTCTGTGGGTGATTCTCTCTTCTGGAACAGCTTGTCCCCCAAGGCAGGGGTAGTTCCCATTCTTCTACCCTTCTGAAATCAAATAAATCCTTAGCTGTTCCAGAAGGCCTTTGGGACTTGACTTAGCTTTTTTGTGAATCAGCTAAGAATGACTAAATGCATCCAAACTTGCGTCACCCAGCTATCCTGGTTAGCAGGAATCAACATTTCAAGCCAAGGAATTCAGACAACTCTTTAGGTAAGCACCATACTATATAGGGATGAGAAGTATGATGGTTGCGGACAAGTCAATTCTGATGTAAGTGGAAAGGCTTGGTGAGCCCATGGCTAGGAGGCTTTTGTTTTGGAAGGGGATTGTGAAATTTAAATATCAAAATTATGGGGAAAATGGAGGAGGGAATACAGAATGTGAGGTCTTGCAGATAAGATAGGATATAAATTTAATGAGTTACATTTAATATCAGGTTGGCACAAGAATGCCTGCATGCATATGTGTTAAATGTTACACATGTATAATAAACAATTAAATGTTACACATGTATAATACATGACTCCCAAGAAAAGTGGGGCCTGGGGTGTGTGGGAAGGATTAGGAATGGAAAAGTGTTGGGGCCACGAAGAAGGCGAAGACAGGAAGAATGGGACAGGAAGGAGGAGAGCCAGTTTGGTCTAGTGGTTAAGGCACCAGGCTAGGAAACAGGAGACTGAGTTCTAGTCCCACTTTGGGCATGAAATTACTCTCTCTCAGCTGAACTCGCCTCACAAGGTGGTTCTGGGGAAAATAGGAGGAGGAAGGAGTATTAAGTATGTTTGCCGCCTTGAGTTATTTATAAAAATAATAAAGGCAGGATGAAAAATCTTTTTAAAAAAAGGTACTTAGGCCTTTAGCTACCCAGCCACATTTCACATTTATTGTTACTTTGTCACTGCTGAAAAAAAAAAAAGCTCTCTGGCAATTGACCATTTCCTTCCCAGACTCTGCATCCTTTTCATGTATTAGACCACCACTCATAATTCTGGCTAAGGGTAGCTTGAGTTGTAGTCTAACATATGTAGATCAATGGTAAAGCTGGCATATAGCATTCAATAGACCCCAAGAGTCAATCCTCCTTTTTTTAGCCCGGTTGCAAAAGAAAATATGATTTATATTTTCTCAAAAGTTTGGTTTTATGGCAGATTGTTCCCGTAAAATTGCACAGAACCACTCTGAAAAATGTCACTGGCTTTTCCCTAAACTTTTTCAGCTCTTTAACATTTTTCAGGCATTGTGCATGAGGATAAACTTGCTCAGCTGCCTGGAAATGTTAGGCAAACATCTTGTGGTGTTTCTAATTTGAGGAGTGCTGATGTCATTGCAATTAAAACAAATCCCAGCTGAGTGGCTCCATTAGACCAAACTGCTCTGAGTCAACATAGTCCATCTCATTATTTTGTTTCGTTTCATCTTTTTTTATTTCTTTTCAGCGTTGACATACGGTCATTTGAATCTCAGAGAAGCAGGGTTAGTTCTTCTCTGAGAGGAAAAATGGATACACCATGGAAGCAGCATCAATCTGAAAGCTTTTGGTTGTGAGATTGACTCCAATACCAACCCAGAAATTAATTTGTAAGAGACCCTCACAAACACTCAGGAAAGCCACTGCATCTTACTTTCCTACCAGACATTATCTGCTTCTGCTATGAACCCTCCTTGGTCCCCAGCCATTCCAGGAAATCCAGCTCTACTAATTCCAGCTGAGTGGAACAGGAGACTAGGAAGTGTAGTGTAACTGTCCATTCTGGTTGGGACTGAGGCTCATTGATGTTCTTAAAATTCATGGAAATGGCATAACAAGGCTTTCACGTGACAGCTGCAAAGCACTTCATCAGTCTGTAAATGGGATCCATAGGCTTCTTTGAGAATCAGTGTCTATTTTGATGAAAGCATGGATGTTTCATGGAGGAATTCATGGCTAGCTAGGTAGCATTTGAATGCATCCTGGTTAAACGTCAAGCTCACAAATACTGGTGTATACTTCCTTGTTTTATTTTTTCTTTTCTTTTTTAACCAAGGGACACATGCAGTAAACTTAAACTGCTATCTAACATAAAGAGCTGATTTCACGCTTGCTGCAGCCCCACTTGCAACAGGCATTGCTCAGACCTGCCATAACATCTCGGGCTCCACGATCCAAAGGCCAGGGGTCTTCGGAGACGGCATAGCTCTGCTGGCCTCGCCAGATCCCATAATTGTCAGAGGGATCCTGTGGGGAGGAACGGACTGGATTCCATTCATTGGATAATGACGTGGCATCAAAGACTTCTGCAGAATCTCCACCAAGGAGGGCACTGAGATTTCCTGCAATGAAAAGGCAACATTGGAAACTGGGGGGATCAGAGGCAAGATCCTAGGCTCAGCAAACAAATACTACTGCTGAGATGTCAGTTGAATCAGGCTGTCTTAAAGTAACAGGCATTAGATGAAGCTGAGTAAGTATCTAGGTAGCCCCATACTTACATCCTCTACAGAAGTAGCAAGAAGTACATTTTTCGTAACCCCTTTAGGGAACAAATGCTTTGTGGGCTGTCTTAGTGAATTTTAATTAATTTGGTGCTAATGATAATTGTTTTAGTAAGTAAACAAAGCAATATCTGAAATAGCAATGAAGCAGAAGGCTGAACAATTTCTAAGGTTAGCAGATATTCGGTTGTAGCCATTCAGATCTGCCTTTTCCAAACAGGAGTTGAGTCTCAGTATTTCAAGCACCTTTATTGAAGGGGAAGAGGGCAAGTGGTGGTTGGATGGCAGCCTTGTCTATGTATCAAGGTCAACAGAAGTGAAGATGATTATGGGTTAGTTTAAACTGCCCAATGCAGGATTGGGCCTCAGAACAGTGGTGGGGAAGTCCCATATGCTAATTTAAATGCCAACAAGTCTGTTTTGTGCAGTCAAAAGCATATTCAAAAGGGGGTGATGTTAGAAGGAAATGCTTGCAGTTGAGTTTCCTGAACAGGGGTATTTGACCTGTCCCTTGCCTAAAGCTTTGTAATTACTTCCTCTTCCTCCAACCCCAGCTGCTTTCAGATGTGTAAGTTCCATTTTGAATTGAGAGACAGGAAAGGGTGGGCAGAAGAAATGGACAAAAGCTTAGGAGGGAATTATGGTATCTCCAGCTGAAATAGGGATGCCACTATGATGCACCTTAGTCTCCGCATTTTTCTTTACTGGTGCACTCTTTTCAATAGCAGATGGGATGTGTTCCCCAAACAGTATCCATGATTTGCACCCAAAAGATCCCAGGTTTGGTTTCCAGCATCTCCTGGTAGAGCAGAAAAGGACTCTTGTCTTGTACAGGAGCACCTTCAACCAGCCAGCTATTACACTGTCCATTATTAAGTTGTCCATTAGGACAAACCTGCCCTAGATGAACAATGAAGTCCCTTCCTATATTTTTATATGATTTCAACTGGACAGATTATACCTACTTTTAAACTCACTCTAGCATTCTTGGGAAGGGATGGGTGACAGCTCTCATCCCACATAGCAAGAGATTTACCGACTGGGGTAGTGGGAGTTGTAACCCGACTTGCGCAAACTGAATAGTGAAAGTGGACTAAGTTGGTGGGTGAATGGCAGGGCACCATCCCTGAATGTGCCTTCCCACAGTGTAGCTACCCTTTGTTGGAAGCATACCCTTGGCTATGAATCAAAGAACCTGAGTCATAAGGTGATGGAGCAAACATTGCACGGCCCTGCCTTGGATCAGCAGCTTCTTAGTCCTTTCCTGTTCTGTAACTCAAAGTCATTACACTCTTTTGCAAGCTTACACTAACTAGCAGCATACAAACTTACACAGGAAGCAATGCAAGAACAGCTTCAAATGCATGGCACAGTGGTGAACCACACAACATATCTTGGAGTGTTCGGGCAATGTCCATGTTTACAACAAGAAGAACAATAAAATAAGTTTGGTTAGTTCTCAGGGCAGCCCACTGGTCACTTGCCTCCCAATCCCACCCTGGTCAAAGCATTCTTTGCATCTTTTTATAATTCCTTTTTAAAACAGCAGTTTGTGAATGAAAAGGCTCTCTTCCCTTTGTGGCTTTCTTCTTAGAGTTCTCAAATACTTACCTGGCAGGGTAGTTACCTTGATCATGAAGGTGGTTTCCCAGGGTGAGGCTTATCCATTGCCCTCTGGGTGTGCTCACCCCTGCGATTTCACCAAATGTGGGAAATTCAACTCTGCAATTTGTGGCTTTCTTTTTATAAATGCAATCTGGCTTCCTACAGACTGGGAACCGAGATCTAGAGAACAACTGTCTTTTTCTAACTCTTCTTCAAACTTGACATCAGCTTTTCTTTACACATGAATAGAAGGATTGGCCGTTTTGTATCACATATTTATGCCTCGAATGGGGAATCTCCTTAACGTCTGGAAGGATGATACTCAGTATCTGAGATGAAGTAGCTTACCACCCATTTCATACTTCTGTGTGTGAGAGCTTTCTGATTCATTGGCCTAGTCTGTTGTAATCTTGTCTAATATTTAGACCTTACGAAGTGATGATTCATTTGACTTTTCTCCTTCAAAAAGATGGGAAGTATAATTCTCCAAATAGAGACTAGGCCTCTGTGAAGCATCCATGTTCTAAAAGGTATTTGGGTGTTAGGAGGTGGTAACCTGATATCTCTGTTATGGAGGGCCACATTAGCTGGGAATTTAAGGAACTGTAGTCCTATCCTATCTGGAGGACATCATGTTGCGGAAGGCTGCTCTATCTTAACAACTAGGCTCAAGCCCAAGTTTGCCAGCATCCCCTTTGCTCACCTGCTCGTCTCCAGCGGGATCCTCCGCAAGTGAAGATGACAGCACGGATGAACTCCCTGCCACACAGCTTAACGCCATAGGGGGGTGTCCTGGCTTCACTCACCAGCCATTTCTCTGAAAGCAGCACCCCAAGCACCAGAGCCAAGAGGAATTTGTGCATGGCTGAGCTCTGCCAGACAGGAAGGGGATCCCCTGCAGCAGCACAGCTCCCTTTTGCCAGCTTCTCTCAGTGGACCTGAACCCTTTTTATACCTCCAGGTGGACTCGAGCATCTTTCAGGCTATCTCCCCAATTAGCAGCAGGAGGGGATAGAGACCTTTCTTGGTGGGGGAGGACTTGGCTTATTAAGGATGTTTGCTAATCAGAGATAACCTTTCTCTTGTTATCAGCTTGGCAGATAGGGAATTGTGTTCAGCGCTTACCTGGCCTTTCCTGGCAGGGACGGACATGTAGGTGCATACAGAGAAAATGCACAGCAAGATATGCAAATGCCAAGAACAAGAGTGGGAGAGGAACATAGGCAGAACAACTCACCGAGACTCCTCATACCTATCTATGGATTTAGAAGACTTTTATGTCCCAAGTGCACAGATGGAAACGGGAAGGCAGACAAGTAGGGTTCTTACTCTTATTACATCTCCCACTATCCCCTGATCAGCTTGGTCGTTTGGCAGGGGTGCTGGGAATTATGCCCCAAGTGTCTGCAATGCACCAGGACAGAGACAGTTGCTGTTGTATTACGTACCTCTGTCAGTTTTTTTAACCTTAGTGCTACCCTCAGCAATAGTGCTCCAGACCAAGGTGCAGCATCCTCCCCTCCCCTCCCCTCCCCATTTTTATTTTTATTTTTATTTGTTTATATTATTTATTGGATTTATAAGGCCATCAAATCAGGAGACTCAAGACACTGTACAGAGTTAAACTTCATTAAAATACAAATATAAAATCAGATATGGAGAATGCATGGGAGGGATATGTGCCAACTACCCAGCATCCACCAGTCTGGGTCACAAATTGCCTTGGCCTCTGGCCTCTTTGAAAAGCCAGGTTGTTTTAGGGTTGTTGTTGTTTTTTTTGTACAAAGGACAGCAAAGGTGGAGTCATATGAACCACCTCTGGGGGTATGGTATTCCAGAGGGTGGGGCATGACTCTGGGGTTTCACAAGATAACAAACTTAGTCATTGGGACCTGGAGCCTACTGACCCTATGCTCTTATACGGGATGGGCAGAGAGAATGGGAGAAAGCTGTCTCTTAAAGAACCAGACCACAAGCTTTATAGATGACAATCAACACCTTGAATTGCACCCAGAAGCTCATTACTAACTAATGGAGCTCATGGAGCAGAGGTCAGCTGGGCATACTGAGGTGCCCTCATAACTGCTCTCATGGCTGTATTCTAGACAATGAGCTTCAAAGGCAGCCCCATGCAGAGGACGTTACAATAAGTGAGAAATGCCTAAGGCATGAGTAACTAGGAGCAAGTTCTGCTGATCCAGGAAAGAGTGCATGAGGTGGATCTTTGAAAATGGCTGCCACTTGCTCTTTCCGCAAGAACTATGAGTCCAGCTTATGTAACAGTTCTGTCTGGGGGAGTGCAACTTGGTCAACCAGGGGTCATAATATAACATCTGATGATTTTATATCAGACAGATGATACCTGACACCATGGTAGTGGATGACCTCCCTCGGGCGTCTATGTATGATGGTAAATGGGAGAGCTTTGAGCCTAAGGAGCCCCAGAAACCCCAGCCCTAGCGCTAGATCTCGCTCCCTCTACCAACACTGAATCCAGGCAAATTATTTTAGCTCATAAGTGCCAGTGTGCAGGAGGTTTCTGAAGGGAAGACAGAATGGAAAACTATTTGTTCCTTTGGTTCAGATTTTGTTCAAAGTTGATAGGCAGTGACA